TTTTTTTTTTTTTTTTTTTTTTTCTGAGTTGGAGTCTCACTCTGTTGCCTAGGCTGGAGTGCAGTGGCAAGCTCACTGCCACCACAGCCTCATCTTGCTGGGCTCAGGTGATCCTTCAGCCTCAGCCTTCCAAGTAGCTGGAATTACAGGTGTGCACCACCATGCCCAGCTAATTTTTTGATTTATTGTAGAGAACAGGTCTCACCATGTTTTCCAGGCTGGCCTCAAAACCGTGGGCTCTGGCAATCCTCTTGCCTTGGCCTCCCAAAGTGCTGGATCACAGGTGTGAGCCACTGCACCCAGCTAAAACTGCCAATTTTCAATTAAAATTACCAGTGCTTAATGTACTAAAATAAATGTATGTTCTAAAGATCAGAACTGGCTGGGCATGGTGGCTCATGTCTCTAATTCTAGCACTTTGGGAGGCTGAGGCAGGAGGATTAGTTGAGCCCAGGAGATCCAGACCAGCCTGGGCAACATAATGAGACTTCATCTCTACAAAAAATCAAAAAGATTGGCCAGGTGTAGTGGCATGCACCTGTAGTCCCAGCTGTACAGAAGACTGAGGAGGAAGGATTGTCTGAGCTTAGCATGTTGAGGTTGTATGCTCAGGGTGGGGCTATCGGCCCTGGCCAGTTCCATACCTGAAATCCCCTCCTCCTCAAACCCATGGGAGACAGAGTGAGATATCAACTCAAAAAAAAAAAAAAAAAAAAAAAAAATCAGAGCTGGAAAATGTGGAATGATGCTGATGCTGATGATAATAGTGGGAATTATGATACTTCGTCAGGTTCCAAAATATGAAATTGATTTAATATGGAAATTTAAAGGGTTTGCCCACCCTCTGTATTTGGCTGCTCTAGAAGACTAGAACATCAGTATTTCCTCTCACCTCCTGTGAAGGTTTGAATTAAAGTTCCTCAAGGAAGGGGGAAGGAGTTTTTTGGTTGATTCAGGCTCTGAGTCTAACCAAAGATGTTTGAATGAATTGCCAACATTTAAAAACAGGATGTTTCCTATGAAGCAGAAGGTCGAGGGTTTCCAGATAAGTGGAAAGATCTGGCAACAGTCATTTTCGTTCCCCATGGCTCACCCAGGCCGCCCATCCTGGGCATCCCTTTATTCCCTCTGCCAGCCTCTCGGTGCAACCTCTGATTTGGAAGGTAGGACTTGAGGAAAAGCTAGGAGGGGGAAGAAGAATCCTAGAAAGGACAGATGGATGGAAGAGGAGTCAGAGGAAAGGGGAATGGGTAGAGGGTGGGAATCTTCAGGCATCTCAGTGGCTGGGAGCTGACCCCAGTAAAGTGGCCCTGTGAACAAGAAAAGGCTGCTGTCCCAGGAAGAGTTGATAGGTGAACCTGGGAAAGGAAATTGTTTCATTGCTCGAGAGCCACCAGAGAGCCAGGTTGTCACACATTCCAGTGGGATTTGAAGCTCTTGTGCATGACTGGAGGAGAAACATCCTTTTACGACTATGGTTTCACAACTTCTTTCTTTTTTTTTTTTTATTTATTGTGGAGATGAGGTCTTGCCAAATTGCCCAGGCTGGTCTCGAATCTGTGAGCTCAGGCAATCCTTTCATCTCGGCCTCCCAAAGTGCTGGGATTACAGGCATGAGCCACTGCACCCAGTGGCTTCACAATTTCTAGTTAAAGCAAGTATTTACATAATTATGATTAGATAACTTTTATTCTCAACCTTACCACACACTATGGTTCATTTCCTTTCTTGTATACATTTTATTTTCTTGAGTTGATAATTAACAAACTTCGCTGGATGATGTGGCCCAGGGGCATACTGGGGGACGGAAGCAGCAGACGAGTGGTCAAGATGGTCAAGCTTCATGTCCCAGCTGGGAGGAAGAGCATCCAGGAGGGAGAAAATTAAATAAATGAGGACCGGGTGATGTCTGTGACCCGGCAGATATGGTGGGATCAAGGGCATGAGAGATTGAAGGTGATTAGAGAGATGTCCCAGGAGAAACTCTACAGGAGATGGCAAAACCATGGGTGTGGATTAGGATGGCTGGGGAGAATGAGGGCATTATCCAGGCCATCCGGGAAGAGAAAGATCAGGATTGTTTATCTTTTCAGTTCCTTTCCTCCTTGACCCACAGATCTTGTGGATTCTTTCTGCAACCCTGAGCCCTTTCTGCATGTCGTCTGAGAGCTTAGCTCTCTAGGGTCGTGGAAAGATACATAGCTAATACTTTGAGTGGGTTTTGTCACAATATGAGCTCTGGCCCTAACTCCTCTCTTTCTGTATAAATTTTAACTCAGAGAAAATAAAGAATGCACAGGTCAGAGAAGAGAAGGCTTCTCCATAGACCTGGACACTCTGGAGAAACAATTAGAAAAAAGACGGAAGTCAGTGACAGTTAAGCCTCACTGAGAGTGCCTGTTGGATTCTGATTTAGCTTGTTGCCCGCCTGGCTCATGTCCGATTTGGATCCTGTGGATGGATGTTGAGTTTGGAGGCTTCCCTTGCTGGGATACTGCCCTCTGGGCCTGATCTGACCGGTGGTCTACGGCAGAACCAGCAGTGGTGTGCTGGTACATGTTTAACAATCCGCTTGGGGTTGGGGGAAGGTGTGGGGAAGTGTCTCTGATTTGTAGCATTTGCCCATTTCTGCAGTGTAAATATTCTCATGGTGGCTGACTGCAAGCTATCAGTATGAAGTCACTGACCCTGACCTTGAGGTTGGAGGTGATGTGCTCTGCCGGAGTCCAACTCCAGTGGGTCAGGGTTTCCTGAAAGAGGGATGGCGTTGGCACAGGAGAAAAAAACTTGAATGCCGACTCTGCTGCAAGCAGGACAAATGCCGATTTATCGTCTTTTCCAACTCCTTTTAACTCCTTTTATGCCCTACATGTTTTTTGTTTTCAAGGCAATTAGTTACAATTTTTTTTTTTTTTTTTTGAGTTGGAGTCTCACTCTGTCACCCAGACTGGAGTGCAGTGGCCGCTTCCTGCCACTGCAGCCTTGACCTGCTGGGCTCCAACGATTCTTCTGCCTCAGCCTTCCAAGTAGGTGGAACTACAGGCACGCGCTACCACACCTGGCTAATTTTTTTTTTGACTTGGAGTCTCACTCTGTCACCCAGACTGGAGTGCAGTGGCCACTCCCGGCCACCTCAGCCTCAACCTGCTGGCCTCCGGCGATCCTTCCGCCTCAGCCTTCCAAGTAGCTGGAACTGCAGTCGTGCGCTACCATGCCCAGCTTATTTTTTGATTTATTGTAGAGATGAGGTCTCGCCAATTTGCCCAGGCAGGTCTCGAACCCGCGGGCTCAGGCAATTCACTCACCTCAGCCTCCCAATTGCACGGGATGACAGGCTGAGCCACCAAGCCCGGCTTGTTCATCCTGTTTTGATCTTAAAACATTATCATCCTAAATATTAACTATAAATTTTATAAACTTCTAACATTTTTTAATGATTACCATTTCTTAATGTCCATACAAAACTTATTCCTATAACTATCACATTATAAATCACTACCGAGTTCTAAGCACTATAATTGTCACATAGTTTAGCAAGTCACACCTGTGACCTTTACACAGCAATTTGCAACTAGCTGGGGTAACACAACATTTTCAAGGTTTCTTAGCCTCAAGTTGGCCTGACTAGTTTTCCACAATGTTACACCTAGTGTTTACAATCTGCATCAATTATCTCCTGCCAGGGAAAATGAGCTTCAATGTTTGCAAAATAAAAGGCCTCTCAGGCTCAAGTCACCTTAGTCACAATCCCTAACCAGAATTACAATCCTCCTTAACAAAGGAAAGTAAAGGCAAGGGTGCTCTAATATTT